ATCTTTAGTTTTATTTTACTGTCTTTGGGAGAAGAATTACAGTTTATGAATAAAGTTTGAGCATGACTTGGCTGCTGGAAGGGATGGTTATGAAGGTTACCTCTTTTTTTTACCATGGCCGTGTGCCCAAAAGGTAAAATCCGAGTAATTAAATTACCGGTCACGTGAAATCTGAGATGCTATGTGGGTTATTATGCGCTTCAAGATCTCTGTCTTGTAATGCTCCACAAAATTTCATTCTCATCTAAAGTGACATTTTCTTGTTGCTGGCGGTGATACAGATTCTGCATGTTTTGTGATAAAGATGACTGTTCATAATCTTTCAGATCGATGCATGTGTATCTTTTCGTGGTTTTTCTTGTTGAATTTTGTATATTTATGTCACATTGAACAAAATTTTGAAGTTACGAGTGCAGATTCTTCGAATAATCAAACCTCGCAGGTCTTTCTTGCTACACACATTTTTAACTTCACATTTAGGCCACAAACTTCAGGTATGTTGATGATAGAAATTCCTTCATTTGTAGTCTGTTTATTCAACTTTTCTGTGTTTTTACATCATTGACAGGTATATATATAGAACAAGTGTACATTCATCATCGACAAAGGTACTTCATTTTCTTAAGGTTTTGATTTTACAGTCCCAAACAAGTGTACATTCATCATCGACAAAGGTACTTCATTTTCTTAAGGTTTTGATTTTACAGTTCCAAGAGGTGGACGTATTTCAGTTTCTTATGTCTGGTACGGGCACCTGCATTTGGCCTATCCCGGTTCGTGTTTTTTTCTAAGCATCGAGCTTCAAGAATTTGGTAAATTGCTTGTTTTTCTTTCTTTCTTTACACTCCAATAACTATTCATTTTGTTGTTTCTTTTAAGCTACAGATTATTAGTTAATAAAAATGTTTTTTTGTCTGTAGTGAGATAAAAGAGTATTTTGATCCTAGTGAAGCTATATAAATTGTATGCCATTTTGAGCTGACATAAAGGAGCAAAAGAAGCGTAACTAAACGTACAATCCGAGCCAGAGGCGCTGAAAACGAAGAAAAATGACTGAAGGTACGTTTAGTAATCGTATCGTAGAAAACTTTGTGTGGGACACAAGTTTTTGTATCTGAATTTTGTTGATCTGTGCAAAGTTAAACTGGAATGTGAAAATAGTTCTTCCTAGTTTTATTAGCATATGCCTGCTTCAAATATTTCACTAGTTTTTTTTACTTGAATGTAGATAATATTCTTGTAATTAGTTACCATTTTCTAAATTTACTTCTTTTCATTTTTGTTTCCTATTTCTTTTTTTTTTTTAATCCAGGTTATGAAAATAATATATACATTGACTATTTACAAAGAGATATAATAATATTATATTTTTAATGTATAAAATTTTCATGTGAATTATTTATCTCCTACCTTGATGTACAATTATTAGAAAAATCGCATACATATCTAATATTTAATTTTTTTAAATTAACCTATTGACCGACAATTGACTTGGTTACTGGGTTGAGGTGAGCAAAGATGTGATTCGAAATTAAATAGAAAAAATAACAACCAGAAAT